GTTCGGACTTGGCTGGGTCTCGTGTGGGACTCTCGAACCGCCTCCTTGTCTCTCCCTCCGGAGTCTCTCCTGCGGCTGCGGTCCCGCCTTCGTCTGTTTCTGGAGGGCCCTCGGGTCACCCGGCGGTTGCTCGAGGGGCTGTGCGGGAGCCTGAACTTCGCGATGGTGGTCTACCCGCCGGGTCGGGTTTGGCTTCGACGGCTGTTCTGGTTCCTTCGGGGTTTCCCCTGCCGCCTCTCTCGCGATCGCAGAGTTCGACCCCCGGGGGACTTGCGTCGGTTGCTGCATCACCGGCTTCCTCTTCGGGTTTTTCGGGGTTCAGTGCCTTGGCGCCTACCCGAGCCCTCGCTCGATGTGTACACGGATGCGTCGTCTCTCGGCTGGGGTTTTGTGACCGGTGCTCACCAGGCCGGCCAGGGGCGTTGGGATCCGTCCTTCCGTCGAGCTCACAGTACGGTGCGGGAGTTCGCGGCGGTGTGGTTTGCTCTGGGGAGGATTCGGGTGGCCCGCGGATCGACGATTCGGCTCCGTTCGGACTGCTCTCCGGTGGTTCATTGCCTGAACCGCGGGGGTTCGATGCGGTCCTTGTCTCTTTGGGGTTGGTCGCTTCGGGTGACTCGTCTGCTGAGTTCTCGGGGTTTGGCTCTCCTGGCGGTTCACGTACGGGGCGTGTCCAACGTCTTGGCCGACGCCCTGTCTCGCTTCGTTCCCCTCTCCACGGAGTGGACGGTCGACGACGAGTCCATCCGTTGGCTTTGCCAGACGTTCGGGCGCCCCGAAGTGGACCTCTTCGCGTCGGCGTGGTCGCGGCGTCTTCCCGTTTATGCGGCGCCCTTCCCCGATTGCGAGGCCGTCGGGGTCGATGCCTTTCGGCTAGACTGGTCGAGGTGGGGGTTCCTGTACCTCTTTCCCCCGGTTCGGCTGTTGCTCCAGGTCCTGACTCGCTTAGAGACTTACCGGGGGAGAGTTGTCCTTCTGGCCCCTTGGTGGCCGGCCCAGCCTTGGTTTCAGGCGCTGGTTGCTCGGTGTCCAAACCCGAGGGTTTTCCCGCGGCTCCGCCTCTTCCAGCAGATCGGGCCGGTACGTCACGTAGCTGGTTCGATCTTCTCCTCGAGTCTTCGCGTATGGTTTTTTTGACTCGAGTCTATCATCATCTCTGGTGATCAGGTGGCCTCCTTGTTGGTGTCCCACCTGAGGGCTTCTTCTCGGCGGCAGTATGAAGTTTCCTGGCGGTCCTTCCGTTTCTTTTTGCGTCTTCGTCGTGTTAGCTCCTTGTCTGTTCGGGTGGTCTTGTCCTTCCTCTCGTGGTTGTTTCAGGACCGTCATCTTATGCCTAACACTGTCGCTTCGTATCGTGCGGCGCTGGCGGAGCCGCTTCAGCTTGCTTTCGGTATCGGTGTTACGTCTGCGCCGTTTCGCAAGCTGTCTCGTGCATTGTTTCACCTCCGGCCTGCTCATGCGTCGCCTGAGCCGTCCTGGTCTTTGGACAGAGTGCTCGCTTTCCTTTCATCTCCTCGTTTCGTTGTGGCCCCTTCGGTCCAGGATTGTTTTTCCAAGGCACTTTTCTTGTTGGCTTTGGCCTCTGGGGGTCGGGTAGGGGAGCTTCATGCTCTCCTCCGGCGCAGGGGTTTCTGCTCCTTTGGTCGTGGTGATAGTTTTGTTCGTTTGCAGCCGTCTCCTTCTTTTCTGGCGAAGAATGAGACTGCTGCGTTCCGGAGGGGTCCATGGGTGGTTGATGCTTGGTTGGTCAGGCCGGGGGTGCATCATGTTTTGTGCCCGGTTGCGGCGCTTCGCCGTTATTTGCGCGCCACAGCTTCTGTGTCCGGGGACGCGCTGTGGGTTGATCCGGTTTCCCTTCTTCCCTGTTCGCGGGTTCGGGTCTCTCAGGTCATCCGCAGGGTTATTAGGTCCAGCCAGCCTGCGGTCTATCCCCATGCCCATGACGTTCGTCAGTTCGCGGCTCTTGCTGCCGTCTTTGGGAATATGTCTTGGTCTGATATTCGGGCGCGGGGATTTTGGCGGTCGAACAGGGTCCTGGCTGCGCGTTACCTTGTGAATGTCCCTGGGCCTCGTCGGGCCTGTGTTGCTTTGGGTCAGCGGTTGCAGCCAGTTGTCTCGGCTTCGAGTTGAGGGGTGAGCGACGACCGCCTCCCGGGTAAGTCCCTCTTTTTCTGTCTGTGGGTAGTTAGCTCCGGGGAGCCGACGGGGCTCCCCCCAGAAAACCAGCGTTGAATGTAATGAAACGCCATTTTCTGGGTGAGTCCCGGAGGCTCCCCGGCATCCCTCCCTCCCTCCGGTCGGCGGTTTTTCGCGTTTTTGACATCCAGCCTCAAGAACTGAGGTGTGGGTAGCCGGCGCGGGGGGTCTGGGGCTCCCCCTTCCCCCTCCCGGGTGAGGGGGGAGCTGCGCAGACAGCGGCGCGGCAGTGTGTGACGTCACACTAGTTTGCTTGTTTTCGGTTGGGGAGTTCTATCCACTAGTTCGGTTTTAGGTAGTAATTTTAACCAGAATAGGGGTTTGTTTTGGGGCGCTTACCTTTCTGGGTGCCTGTTCCGGTCGATGGCAGACATAGAATGCTTCCAACTACACGGGGGCTTCTATAGGCCATTGCTCCCCTTGCCTCTCTGAGGGGGCCCGGTTCTGGCCGTGGTCCCCGGTAGGCCTAAGAACTCCATACACATGACTGATGCCAAAGTCTGACATTAGCATATCAGCCTGGGATAGCTCCGGGGAGCCTCCGGGACTCACCCAGAAAATGGCGTTTCATTACATTCAACGCTGGTTTTGTGATCAAAAACTTTGCTGTCGATGTGGGTCTTTGGTGCAACTTTTGTACTGGTGTCTCCTTCTTCTTCTTGGTGCCCTTCGTCTGGCTGGGGGGATGCTCTCTCTGCTCGCCAATCGGCTTCTTGCCATTTCTTTTTTCTTTTCTTTACATATTTTTAATTTTTTTTTCTCGGAGGGGGCGCTGGTCCCTTTGCTGTTGATGGGGGGGGGGGGTTGGTTCGCACTGTTTGCTTGTGCTTGGTCCCACTATTTGTGGGCATTTCAGTCGTGTCATCCGGCCTGTGGTGGCGTTGGGTAGCTCCTTCTCCTTCGGGGTGTTTGGGACGGGTGGGGCAGGCTTCTTTCCCTGTGCTTCGTCGGGTCATCTTGGAGTAGGGGCACTTAAATGTGGTTGAACCGACCCTGTCCCTTCGGTGGGTTCCTGCCTGTTCCAGTGCTAACACGGGATTGTGTAGATCTGAGGTTTATTCTTGACTTGTCCCGTCTGATCTCTGGATTCCTTGCCCCTCTTTGGATGACCTCTGTCTCGGGTCCAGCTTCTTTTGGAGCTGGGTGCCTGGGTGGAGACCGTGAACTTCAAGGACGCATTTTGGCACGTTCCTCTTCATCCGGGGCTCTGGACTGGCTAGGTTTCGTGGTGGGGCGTCAGGCATATGGCTTTCGTTGCCTTCCTTTTGGCTTGCATCTGGCACCTCGCGTGTTCATGCGTCTCGCCCGGGTGACCTGTCTGAGTCTGCTAGGGGGTTCGGGTCCTGCCCTACCTTGACGACTGACTGGTGTGGGGCTCCCAGCCGGTCTGCTTGTCTGCTCACCAGGGATGTGGTTCTTTCCCAGCTCGCTGGGTTCGGGTTCCTGGTGAACTGGAGGAAGTCCCATCTGGTTCCGTCCTAGGTTCAGATCTGGCTGGGTCCTGTTTGGGATTTTCTGACCATGTCTCTCCCTCCGGAGGCGTTGCCGAGGCTGCAAATCCGCCTTTGGCTGTTTCTGGGGGGTCCCAAGTCACTCGGGCGTTGCTCGAGCAGCTATGTGGGAACTTGAACTTCACCATGTTGGTCTCCCTGCTGAGTCGGGTTTGGCTTCGGCATCTGTTCCGATTCCTCCAAGGACGCCCTTTCCGCTTCTCTTGCAATCGCTGGGTTCGGCCTGCAGGGGCCTTGCATCAGCTGCTGCGTCGTCGGCTTCCTCTTCGAGTTTTTCAGGGTCCAGTGCCTTGGTGCCTACATGAACCCTCGTTCGATGTGTTCACGGGTGCATCGTGTCTTGGCTGGGTCTTTGTGACCACTGCTCACCAGGCCGGTCAGGGGCGGTGAGGGTCAGTTCTTCTGTCGGGCTCACAGCACGTTGCAGGATTTCACGGCAGTTTGGCTTTTGCTTGGGGTTCGATTATCCAGCTCCATTCGGACTGTTCTCCAGTGGTTCATTACCTGAACCCCAGAGGCTCTCTTCAGTCCTTGCCTCTTTGGGGTTGGTTGCTTCAAGTGGCTCGTCTTCGGGCTTCTTGGTGTTCGGCTCTCTGTGCAGTTCATATCCGGAGAGTTTCCAATGTCCTGGCAGATGGCTCTCTCGATTCATTCCTCTGACCATGGATTGGACGGTCGATGCCGCCGCCTTCCGTTGGCACTGCCGGACGTACAGACTCCCGAATGTGGATCTCTTCACATTGGCATGATCTTGGTATCTCCCGATCTATGTGGCGCCCTTCCCTGACTACGAAGCTGTCACTGTGGATGCCTTTTGGCAGGACTGGTTGAGGTGGGAGTTACCTGTACCTCTTCCCCCCGGTCCAGCTTTTTCTTCAGCTTCTGGCTCGGTTGGAGACCTACTCAGGGAGAGTAGTCCTTGTGGCCCCTTGGTGGCCGACCTTGGTTTCAGGCGCGGCTTGCTCGGTTTGCGGACCTGGGGCATTTCCTGTGGCTCTGCCTGTTCCAGCAGGTCGAACAGCCAAATGCCAAATGGGTTGAATGTCATCCAGCCTGTCACTCAGGCTCTTCTCACTCCCTACTTAATGTTTAATTTGTTGATGTGCTTGATCAGTCTGGTAGCATACCACTGTTGGTTAGGCTCAGTAGAGTGGGTGTGATACCATATGATACTCATTACCATTTCCTTTCTCTCTTTGTATCTGAGTAACTTGTCAGTGGACAAAGCACTTGGTATTAAGGTACATATACAGTAGTTGCTTTATAATCAAGCTATGTATTGTCCTCTTGCAGGTTGATAAGGTGCTTGGACTACTTCTGGAGGGTCAGGATAACAGTAATAAATCTGCTAGTGATAGCACAGAACCCCTCAGTGAACATATAAAACCCCTGTTGGAGGAGGTACTCCGACATGGTATTGCTGTGGCATACTGCAGTTCTCCTGACGACAACCACGTTATTATGGCTGTATGTGAAAATGTAAGTACAGATATTTTTACCCCCCCCCCCTCTGTCTTCTCCCTTTCTCCACTTTTTATTTTTTTTTATATACTGTACAGTGGAACCTCAGTTTACGAATGCCCCCACTTTACGAAGTGTTCGGTTTATGAGGTAAATTTCTTTGAAAAATTGGACTCTGTTTACGAGCTTTGCCTTGCTTGGCGAGTTATTTGATGTACATATGGGTCAACCTAGTGCATGGTTCCTGGTGGCAAGGGCGGATGGATGGATGGTGAGAGGACTGAATGGATGGTGGGGGAACTGGATGGATTCATGGGGGAACTGGATGGATGAATGGTGAGGGGGGACTGGATGGATGGATGAGGGGGTACTGGATAGTTGGATGGTGGGGGGGAACTAAATGGAGGGATGGTGGTGGGAAATGGATGGATGGATGGGAGGGGGGACTGAATGGATGAGGGGGAGAACCTCCATCCCTCACACTGCATCCTCCCCACTACCCCCATCCTGCCACTGGACCTTCTCTGCTACCTCCATCCCCCTCACCACCCCATCCCTGCTACCCCCCCATCGGACCTTCCCCGCTACCTTCATTCCCCACACTGCCCCCCACCCCCAGCTCCCCCAGCTGTACCCTCTCAGCCACATCTGGATCTTATTAACCCTTACACTGCTCAGGGGTCCTTGGGACATTTACACCCCTGTGCGCAAGAAAAAAAAAATTAAAATTTTTTTTTTCATCTTCTAAACATGTTAATTTGTGTCCCCAGAGCACGGAAAAAAAAAATCGTAGGTGACATTTTGGGCGCAATTGACCGAGGAAGTCTGACAAAAAGTGGGCGTTGACAGAGTGGTCGTCAGACCCGGTCAGCGTCACCCGGGCTGACAGATGGGAGTTGCCACAAAGATATTATTACCTAATTGTTTCAATGTCTCCGATTGATTTTTTCTTAGTTTTTTTGCAGTAATATTATTCAATAGTGTGTATTGTAATATATTTATATAATAAAAGTGGTGAATAATCGCTATACTCAAAAGTATGATGTGCATATTAGTGATTCAATTATTATGTTTATAAAACAATAAACAAATAGTTTTGCTGCTATTACACTCTATACACAGGTTATATATAAGTATCTGCATGTTTTGGTTACCATAACGAACCACTAAGTTGGTATTGAGAGTCGAAAAGCAACGAAGAGTTACCGCCACACACCAGCCAGCCACTCGCTGCCACTCCCTCAACACACGCACTAAACTTTCTCCCCCAACAATACCATTTGTGGTGTTATTACACTATATGCAGACGTTATATATAAGTATGTATATATTTTGTTCAGCACAACTGTACAGCTAAGCTGATATAGTTAGTTCAGGCACTAAGAGTCGTCGCTATACATAGATGGCGGCTGGCGGCTCCCTCACTCTTTCAAGGTCACACGCACTAAACTTTCTCCCCCAACAATACTGTTTGCAGTGTTATTACCCTATATACACATTATATATAAATATCTACAAGTTTTATGCACCGTAACTGTACACCTAAGCTTGTAGTGCGCCCAAAGAGCATAGTGGCCACCCTCTAAACAGCTAGACAAATCGTGCAGACGACGTCACCTCTGTCACCCATATGGCTCCTCCCAGCATAATCCTTTTGCTGTTATTACACTAATACACACATTATATATAAGTATCTACATTTGTGTTCACCATAGAGAACCACTGACCTGGTATGGTGAATGCAAACAATAACCGCTAGCCACACAGTCAGTAAACGATGCTGTCTCCCTCCATCACTCCTCCCACAGCGCTAATTATTACAACAATCCTGCTATTATCACAACCCTGGTTATTTATATCACAGTGATGGGTCATCTGTAATATTGCCATCGCTAAATAATAACAATTATATATTTATTTTGACATTTTTCGGCGATGATGTGGTCACAAGCTGAACAGCAATGCTGTTCGCTCATGCTGCGTGCGCCGGCCTTGGTTGCTCCAACAGTACTGTGCCTCTCACACCTGAGAATATTGCCCACGATTTTTTTTTAAATGGCATCTGTTTACAAGAGCCCTGAGGAAGCTACTGTGAACCCCGTGTAGCCACGGGCCATTTGAATCAGGCCTGGCACCCTATGGCGTATATATACGCCATGCGCACCATGGGACATGTTACTCAGGGCATATATATGCCATGAGCAGTTTAAGGGTTAATACAGAACGCTTCCTTGCTACCAACTGGTGGATCGGAGGCAGACTGCCTGATATTAAACTCGTGTTGTTTACTGTGTAAATGCTTAACTGTAACTGCCTAACTGCCTGATTGACTGTAAATGCCTAACTGGTTGCTACCACAACTGTGAATGCTTGAGATGCGTGACTGACTTGTGACTAAGGGACTGGTTCTGACTGGCTGCCACATAAGAGGTAGTGAAATATTTGAAAGTAAAATTTGGAACCAGTGATGCAGATATGATTAATACGCTTTAGGTGAGCAGGGGTTGGCCTCGCCTCCCTCCCTTCCCTCCCTCCCTCACCCTCTCCCATACGCCAACAAGATTCCTCAGTAAAGATGAAGTGCAGTTAAATGTTCACCTAGTGTATTTGTTTTATATTTATACCTGATTGTTTTGTGTATGAAAAATATGAGTAGTATTCTGTATAAAATGTGTTTTTAAGTTAATTTTGGGGGTGTGGAACGGATTAATTCAATTTACATTATTTCTTATGGGAAAATTTGTTTTGGATGATGACGTGTCTCTGAACGGATTACGATCGTGAGCATAGGTACCACTGTATATGGAAAGGACCCTTTACGGATGAGCACATTCTCTGGATTAGCTGAATTTTTCACCACGAAGTCTAAAAGTGAACATTTTCAACAATTTTTACACCACAAACAACATAATTTGAATTGCCACATATAATTATAAAATATTCAACCAGAAACCTCAACTTGCCTTGTGAGGTTCATACCTTGTTCGTCTTCTTGGTTAGATGTGGTCCTTGGCTCCTTGGGGCTGGTCGCTTTGAGTGACTTGTGTGCTGAGTTCTCGGTTTGGCTCTCCTGGCGGTTCATGTCCAGGGTGTGTCCGACGTATTAGTGGATGGCCGGTCCCGGTTCATTTCCCCTTCAGTCCAGGTGCGTCCGGGCACCTGGACATGGTCCTCTTCATGTTGGCTTGGTTCTGAGGGGGCTTTGTGTCGGCTTGGTTGAGGGGTCTATATGCGGCGCCCTTCCCAAATGTGAGGCCGTCTGGGTTGATGTCTTTCTACTGGACTGGTATATGTGGGGGTTACCTGTACCTCTTTTTCCCCCAGCTCAGTTGCTGCTCCATATCCTGGCTTGCTTGAAGACTTACCAGGGGAGAGTAGCCTGTTAGCCCCTTGGTGGCCAGCCCAGCCTTGGTTTCTGGCGCTGCTTGCTTGGTGTCTGATCCCAAGGGTCTTCCCGTGGCTCCGCCTCTTTCAGCAGATCGGTCCAGTCCAATATGTGGCTGGTTCAATCTTCTCCCATCTTCGTGTCTGGTCTTTTTGACGCAGGTTTATCACCACTTGTATGATGATCAGGTGGCTTCATTGATGGTGTCCCACCTGCGAGTATGATCTCGGCGGAAGTATGAGGGTTTCCTGGCGGTCCTTTCAGCACTTCTTGATTCTTCGTAGGTTGTCTTCGATTTCTGATTGGATTGTTTTGTCCTTTCTCTTGGTTGTTTCAGGACTGTTATCTTATGCCGAATACTGTCGCCTCGTATCGTGCGGTGCTAGCGGAGCCGCTTCAGCTTGCGTTAGAGGTAGATGTCAGTTCTGCTCTGTTCTGCAAACTTCCTCGGGCATTGTTTCACCTCCAGCCTGCTCATGTGCCGTTAGAGCCGTCCTGGTCGTTGGACCGGGTGATCTCTTTTCTCTCTTCTCCATGGTTTATGGTGGCCCTTTTGGTTCAGGACTGTTTTTCTAATGCTCTTTTCTTGTTGGCATTGACCTCTGGGGGTCGGGTCAGGGAACTTAATGCTCTCCTCCAAAAAGGTTGCTGCTCTTTTTTGGTCCTGGTGGTAGGTTTGTTCGTTTGCAGCCGTCTCCTTCTTTTCTGGTGAAGAATAAGACTGCTGCTTTCCAGAGGTTCCTTGGGTTGTTGATGCTTGGTTGGTTCAGCCGGGGGTGCATCATGTTTTGTGTTCGGTTGATGTCTTTGCCATTGTTTGCACGCCACGGCCTCTGTGGCAAGGTTTCCCTTCTTTGGGTGGACCCGGTTTCCCTTCTTCCCTGTTCCAGGATTTGGGTCTCCCAGATCGTCCGCACGATTATTCGGTCTAGCCAGCCTGCAGCCTGTCCCCGTGCCCATGACATTCGTAGGTTCGTGGCTTTGGCTCCTGTTTTTGGTCTTGGGCTGACATTCGGGCATGGGGCTTTTGAAGGTCGAACAGGGTCCTGGCCATGCAGTACCGCGTTAATATTCCTGGCCCTTTTCAAGCGTGAGTAACCTTAGGTTGCAGGATGTAGCCAGTTGTCTCGACTTCGAGTTGAGAAGTGAATGGCGGCTGCCTGTCGGGTAAGTCCCTCATTGCTTTTTCTTTGATTAAGTAGCTCTGGGAACCTGAAGGAGCTCTCCACAGAAAATCAGCTTGGAATGTAATGAAACTCCATTTTCTGGGTGAGACCCGGAGGCTCCCCGGCATCCTTACCTTCCTTCTGGTCGGCAGTTTTTCATGTTTTTGATATTCAGGTTCTGAACTGAGGTTGGGTAGCCAGCATGAGGGGGTCTGGGGCTCCCCCTTTCTCACTCCTGGGGAGGGGGCGAGTTGCGTAGACAGTGGCGCAGTGTTCTGGGTGTTTTATGCAATATTTATATTTCTCAGATGGGGTATCTGTGTGTCCTGGGCTGCCATGTGGTGGTGGCCAAGGGAATGGGAACTGGGGTTGCTTTCCATATGCCAGTTATTATTTTCTTATTCAAGCAGTGGGTGTTTTTGTTTCATCTGGAGTTTCTGGTTGGATTTTCTCAGTTTATGGGTCAGTCTCTTATCTTCATGCTCCCCTACCTTGTGTTGAGAGTTGGATTTTGATCCTGGTTCCTGATTGGTCTTCCTAAGTCTCTAATGCCTGGTACAACCTGAAGACTTAGCAGCAACTGAAAGCTACCAAGGGTCTGACTGGATAGGAGCATTTCATTATACCGTATTTAACACTTACTATTGCCTTTCTGACCAAATTAGCAGTTTTGCACTGCATTATTTGGTTACAATTTTTTTATATTGTGCAGTTTCCATTTGTTTTAAAGAATTTGTTGTGTGATAATTATTTTTAATTTGAAGCTGGTACATTTTTTGTCTTGCTGCTAATTTTATTTGACAAAGCTCTGAAAAATTGTGAACAAAGAAAGAAAACTATAAAATATGTGTGAACACTTATGGCGACCAGTGGAGTAATTTACTCCATAAATAATGATAGAATTTAGTGAAGTTAAGATTAAAGAACATTAATTATCCATCCAAATAATTATCTGTACTTTACAATATGACTTGAAGTGGATGAAACAAAGAGCTACCCAAGTGCCTTCTGTAGACAGTATAACCCACCAGTGATATACAGTATTAGCTTAGGTTTTTTAGCAATTACTGAAAATAATCTTAAATCTTCAAGATGTAAAGTAATGGGTCTGTAATATTTGAGCCAGATACAGTAGTTAAAATTGCAACTTCCTCTGTCCTTACAGGTTCTTAAACAAATGAAGGTCTTGGTGTCTTTAGAGCGAACTGGAACTCCTGATGCTGTAGATGTGCAAATATCTTGTGATGTGTTGGCTGATTCTGTCGAGCTACTTGAACAGAAAATCAACACTGCCCTCATTCGCCTCATTGCACAGGTGAGATACCATTAACTCTTGATGTTACTAAGCATAAGTTGTAATTATATATTTAACTTGGTCAAAGTTAAATTATGTGAAAAGGCTTCCTGTTGTAATATTTTGCTTGCTTCAGTATTCAATAGCAGTATTAAATCCAATAATAATTTCAAATAGTCTGAAACAAAACAGACTACAATCTGGTGAAAATTGTGATCTACATATGAAAAGAGCAATAGAACTCCTCCACCCCCCCACCCCACCCCCCAGAAAGAAAACAAATGAATAACACTTATTCCAACTAGCACTCTCGCTCGTTAGTGCAACCTCCCCCCCCTTCCCATGGGAGGAGTGGGAGCTGCCTCAGATGAGCCGGCAGCCCACCACCCCAGTTCTTGAACTGATGTGGTATTGGTAGCCCTGCTCCTACGTCCTTTCAGATCAGCGGTTTTGTTGTTTATATTTTTGACGAGTATTGCTATGAAGGTTGTGATCCTTGGGCCGCCAGGGCGGCGCCATCAGTCGTGGTGCGCCATCCCACAGCTGTGATTGTTATCTACACCTTGCACATGGCTGAAAAGCAGTTGAAAGTTTATCATTCCATTCCAAATTTTTGGGGCCTTTTCCTTTCATTAATGAACCATTGTTATTCCCGGTAACTCAGTTGTTCCCTTATGTCTGACGTGTATTAGGTGTGGGTTATGTCTGCTATGAAATGAGTTCAGAGGTCCGTGAATTATTAAGGGCTTCCCTCATTACTGCCGGTGTGTCATTTGTAGTTTTAGTAAGTTTGTACTCACCGCGTTGTACTAAAGTCGTTGTACTCATCTTGTTGTGCTTGTGAGGGCTGGGCTTTGGGTTTTGGGTCTGCCTCTCGCCTGTCCTTCTGATGTTCCCCCATCCCCCCCTTCCCCCATTGTTCCCGTGTCCGAAATGTCTGAGTGTTTCGGTATTGGGTTGGGGTTTAGTTGGTGATGAGACTAGGGCGGCTTCGGAGACTGCCCCATTCGGGTTGGGGATGGAGGCATTCGAGCCTGCTCCTCCTGCTGAGGCTTTTGGGTCGTACTAGCAGCCCCTTTCTTTGCTGCCTTTACCCTGAACTCCACCTTCTCGGTGAATGCCCTTTGACAGGGCTGGTCGAGGTGGGGTTACCTGTCCCTCTTTCCCCAGTCCGGCTATTGCTTCAGGTTCTGGCTCAATTGGAGTCTTCCCATGGGGGGAAAGTCCTAGTGGTCACTAGGACTAGGAAGTCCTAGTGGTCACTTTGTGGCTGGCCCTGCCTTGGTTTCCGGCGCAGCTTACTCGGTATCCACACCCGGGGCATTTTCCGCGGCTCCGCCTCTTTCAGCAGCTCAGACTGATCTGGTACAAGGCTGGTTCGGTCTTCTCCGCTCTTTGCGTGTGGTCTTTTTCGTCACGGGTTTATCACCATTTGTTTGGTGATCAGGTGGCTTTGTTGAAGGTGTCCCACCTTAGAGCTTCGTTTCGGCAACAGTTTGACGTTTCCTGGCATTCTTTCCACCTTTTTCTCTCTCTCCGTAGGTTGTCTTCTGTTTTGGATTGGGTTGCCTTGTTTTTTTTTGTCTCGGCTCTTTCATAGCCACCGTTTCATGCCTACTACCGTTGCCTCAAATCATGTGGCGTTGGAGCTGCTGTAGCTTGTGTTCGGGGTCGGTGTCCCTTCTACCCCCATTCTGTATGCTTTCTCGTTCTTTGTTTCACCTCCAGCCTGCTCATGCGACGCCTGAGCTGTCCTGGTCCTTGGACAGGGTGCTCTCCTATTTCTTTTCTCAGTTCATGGTTGCCTCGTCGGTTCAAGATTGTTTTTCTAAGGTTCTATTTCTGTTGGCATTGGCCTCTGGGGGTCGGGTAGGTGAGCTTCATGCTCTCTTCCGGCATAGGGGTTTCTGCTCCTTCGTTCCTGGTAGTAGGTTTGTTCGGTTGTAAGTTTGTCCTTCTTTCCTGCCGAAGAAAGGTTGCTTTCCGGAGGGGCCCTTCAGTCATTGATGCTTGGGTGGTCAGGCTGGGGTGCATCATGTGTTGTCCGGTTGCGGCTCTTCACCATTGCCTGCACACCTTGGCTTCTGTGGCCAGGGATGCGCTTTGGGTTGATCCGGTTCCCGCATTCCCTGTTCCGGGGCTCTTTCCCAGTGTCTCCCAGGTCATCTGCAGGGTTATCAATTAAGTCTATCCAGCTTGCGGTCTGCCCATGACGTTTGAAAGTTTGCTGCTTTGGGTGCTGTCTTCGGCACCATGTCTTGGGCTGCTCTTTGAGCACTGTGATTTTGGAGGTCAAACAGGGTCCTAACTGCCTGTTTATTGGTCGACATTCCTGGTCCTGGGCGTTCATATGTGGCTTTGGGTCGCAGGATGCTGCCAGTTGTCTCGCTTTCGAGTTGAGGAGCGTGTGGCGGCTGCCTCTTGGGTATGTCGCATTGCTGATGTGACTTAGTAGGAGGATGCCATCTCGGCATCTCAGGGTGTCACTGAGGCCCAACCAGAATGAGGTGTGTCATTGCATTCAACTCTGTTTTTTTAATGTAAATAGAAGTATTGTTCATTATTGTACAATTCAGTAGTATTATTTTTCTTGTGCTTAATAATAATAAATAAATAAATCAGACTAATGCCTCCTGAAGGGATCTCAAGATGCAACAAACATCGGTGTACTGTATGTACATTAACCTGTTAAATATCATATTTTAATATTTATTTTCCAAAGCAGAGTATTTCCAGTAAGAAGAAATGGCATTGCCATATAATCTAAGTGATCCATTTCTCTGAATAACATCGATTACAAAATTAAATAAAAACATTGTTCCTAGGTAGTAAATGTTATTTTCTAATTGTTCCAAAGTATAGAAAATGTTTATTATTTTTCCCTCAAACTTTGCGTTGACCTTTGCCTTAAACAGCTTAGGGATGATATCTGGAAGGTTATATGAAGCTGCTGATTCCTTATCTAGAGTTGACAGATTGTCATGGATCTAGATAAAATGTTGGAAGTTTTCAAATAACCATCCAGACATCATCCATAAGCTGTACAAGGCAAAGGTTAAAGCAAAGTTTTAGAGGAATAATAACCAATTTATTATACTACTACCTGTACCCGGCCACACATTGTTGTGGCTCAGCAACGCATGTGCATTGCTGAGCCACAGTAACCTTTCCCTGTCTCCCAGTCCTCCCCACCATTCTCCCCTCCCCTGTCCCCTCGTCCTCTCAACCATTCCTAACTCCCCCTCGTCCTCTCAACCATTCCTAACTCCCCCTGTCCCCTCGTCCTCTCAACCATTCCTAACTCCCCCTGTCCCCTCGTCCTCTCAACCATTCCCCCGTCCCCTCGTCATCCTTCCATTCCCCCCTCCCCCGTCCCCTCATCCTCCCCACCATCCCCCCACTCCCCTGTTCCCTTGCCCTCCCCACCATCCCCCACTCCCCTGTTTCCTTGTCCTCCCCACCATTCTCCTTTCCCCTGTCCCCTCATCCTCCCCCACCATTACCCCCTCCTTGTCCCCTCATCTTCCCCACCATCCGTCACTCCCGTCCCCTCGTCCTCCCCACTATTCCTCACTCCCTCGTCCGATGCATTCCAAATGATCTGATGTTCCCATCAGAAAATTGGGAACATCGAATGATCTGATGCTCCCATCACTTAAATATAAGCAAAACAGTTAAAAAAATGGGGGAAAAAAAAAAATTAACTATACTCACAAAATGAACAGTATGGTAAACAACACAGCTCAATTCCAATGCAATGTCACACAAAAAAATTCAAGCAAAATTAAAATAAATTTAAATACAGTACAGTATGTGAAAATTCAATTCACCAATGAAATCGGAAACATTGAAATGTAATCATAACATATTTTGTATATGTTTTTTTTTCTGTTTTTTAAAAAAAAAACATGTTTTTTACCTGTCACAGGTGTGGCATCTGTATTTATACTCACGAAATGAATGGTATGGTAAACAACACAGCTCAATTCCAACACAACATCACACAAAATGATCAAATCAAAATGACAATAAATAAAAATCTATAAAAATTCAATTTATCTGTGCAATCGGAAACATTGAAATGGAATCGTAACATATTTAGTATAGTGTGTGTTGCTCTTATGTGCAACAGATGACACTGTTTTTCAAAAATAGCATGGATTTACCCGTCACAGGTGTGGCATCTATACTTATACTCACGAAATGAACGGTATGGTAAACAACACAGCTCAATTTCAACGCAATGTCACACAAAATAATGAAATCAAAATGAAAATAAATCAAAATCTATGAAAATTCAATTTATCAATGGCATCGTAACATATTTAGAAGAGCGTGTGTTGATCTAACGTGCAACAGATGGCCCTGTTTTGTTTTTGTTTTTTTAAAAAAAAGCATGTTTTTACCTATCACAGGTGAGGCATGTATATTGTAGGTATGTAAAATATATGCGTATTCGAATGGAACGTTGTCAAAATTTCAAAGCAATCTGTGAAGAACTTTCGGAGATTACAGCGTGTGTTGCTCTTAATTCCAGCAGATGGCGCTGTTTAAAAAAAAAAAAAAAGTTTCATATTACAGGTGAGGCATGTATATAGTAGGTATACAAAAACAAGCTCCTATTCAAATGCAACGTTGTGTTAAAATTTCGAAGCAGTCAGTAAAGAGGTTTCAAAGATTTCCCTCGCATGAAAAACACAGTTTAAAAAAAAGTTTTTTCCCGTCACAGACGTGACATCTATATAGTATGGATATAAAAACTTGCTCGGATGCGAATGGAACATTGTGTGAAAATTTCAAAGCAATCGGTGAAGAACTTTCGGAGATTGGCTATTTTGAACAAACGAACATTTCCATTTCTGGGGGAAGCCCCTTCGGCTCCCCATAGATTATACAGGCTGATATGCTAATATCAGACTTTGGTATCAGTCATGTGTATGGAGTTCTATGGGCCTACCAGGGACCACGAGCCAGAACCTGACCCCCTCAGAGAGGCAAGGGGAGCAATGGCCTATAGAAAGCCCCATATGGTTGGAAGCATTCTATGTCTGCCATCGACTGGGTCAAGTACACAGAAAGGTAAGCGTCGCAAAACAAACCCCTATTCTGATGAAAATTGCTTATGGCTTATTGCTTATGGCCAGAAAATGACGTTTCATTACATTCAACGCTGGTTTTTTATTTATATAGATGGAGCCATAAGCAATTATCAAATAACATTTAATAACCAGTGACAAAAAATTTTACATTGTGTAATATTTTTGTGGGATTTGTTCTTGCTAGTTTGTTGAATGTCAAAGACCATATTAAAAAAAATTCTCACATTGTATAAAGTTATGCTAAAAATTCTTGCCTTTACAGACATTTGCAGATCCTTTGACCCCTTTGCACTCTTTGATGAGTATGCTGGGATCTGAAGTCAGTAAATTAAACCGCAACAAACTTGATGCCAGTATTGCAGACTTGGATCTTCACATGGATGCCATCTTTCAAATTGCAGGATTTGCTACTGCTTGTACTTCAGATGGTGCAAGTAAGCTAATATTTAGTAAACTGTTTTAAAATTAACTATGAAGAAATGAAAAAATAGCAATCATTATCATTGCCATGTTTTCCACTTCCATAGGGTGGGGAGGCATCAGCCTTGAAGAAATAGAACAATTAGGGGGAAAATACAGCCCATCCATTTGCCATATCTTTGCATGCAACATTCAGCAGCATCATGTACCACCAACACCACTACATTCTAGCAATACATCAACAGGAGGCTCCACTGATTCATATAACTAATTGTGATGTGCTTCCTTTGAGGTACTACTTAACAAAAAATGCCAAATAGTCACTTTCTGAGGGAAGCCCCCTACGGCTCCCTGGAGCTTATCGGGCTAATGTATGTTATATAGACCGGGACATTAACTATGGAGTTCAGACCTACCAAGGACCATGAGCCAGAACCTGGCCCCTTCAGAAAGGTTTCAGGGAGCAATGGCAGTGGAAAACCCCCCCTCTGGTTGGGGGTTTTCCTTATCTCCCATCGACTGGGGTGAGGCACCCAGAAAGGTAGGCATAACAAAACAAACCCCACATGGTAAGAAACTAACAACTAAAACCGAACAGAGGTAGAACTCCCTACAATCTCGAGGAAACAAGCAAACAAGCAAACGTAACACACTATTGCCGCGCCACTTGTCCGCACAGCCCTTTTCCCCCTGAGAAGGGGAGGGCTGAGGCCGAACCTCACTTCGCTGGTTGCATAGCACTTCAGTTTGTAAGCTAATGTCAACCTGGACAGATGCTTCCCTGGCCTCAGTTTCCTAGGCGGTGTTTGCCTTCGTGGCGCTCACTACCGTGTTTTGTGATGTGCAGTGGCCAATTGATTCGCCTGCTGAGTTCGCGGGGTTTGACTCTCCTTGCCGTTCACGTCCAGGGGGGTGTCCAACGTCCTGGTGGACAGCCTGTCATGGTTCATTTCCCTGTCAATGAAATGGACGGTCGATGCCAACTTGTTCAGTATGCTCTGCCGGACATATGAGCTCCCGGAGGTGGACCTCTTCGCGTCAGCGTGGTCAAGGCATCTCCCAATTTATGTGGCACCCTTCCTCGACTGCGAGGCTGTCGGGGTCAATGCCTTCAGGCAGGACTGGTCGAGGTGGGGGGTTCCTGTACCTCTTTTTCCCTCCAGTTCCCCTGTTGCTCCAGGTCCTGGCTCGCTTAGAAACTTGCCAAGGAAGAGTTGCCCTGTTGGGCCCCTTTGGTGGCCAGCCCAGCCATGGTTTCACGCAGTGCTTGCTCCGTGTATGAACCTAGTGGTTTTTATACTGCTCCGCCTCTTTCAGCGGATCGGGCCAGTCCGCTACATAGCTGGTTTGATATTCTCCTCCAGTCTTCTCATCTGGTTCTTTTGATGCGGGTCTATGACCATTTATATGGTGATCAGGTGGCTTCGTTTATAGTGTCCCACCTGCGTGCTTCATCTCGGCGGCAGTATGAAGTTTCCTGGCGGTCCTTTCGTTATTTTTTGTCCCTCCGTAGGCTTTCTTTGGTTTCGGATCAGGTTGTCTTGTCCTTTCTCTCTTGGTTCTTTCAGGACAGTTATCTTATGCCGAATATTGTTGCTTTGTATCGTGTGGTGCCGGCAGAGCCGCTTCAGCTTGCGTTCAGGGTGGATGTTACTTCTGCTCTGTTCTATAAGCTGTCTTGTGCATTGTTTCACCTCTGGCCTGCTCATGTGCTGCCTGAGTCGTCCAGGTCGTTGGCCTGGGTGCTCTCATATCTATCTTCTCGGTTTGTTGTGGCCCCTTCGGTTCATGATAGTTTTTCCAAGGCCCTTTTCCCAACACACACACACACACACACACCCAGGAAGCAGCCCATAACCATTGTCTAACTCCCAGGTACCTATTTACTGCTAGGTAACAATGGCATCAGGGTGGAAGAAACTCTGCCCATTTTTGTTTCTTGCCGGCACCAGGAATCGAACTTGGGCCACAGGATTACTTGTCCAGAGTGCTATCCACACAGCCACCGCCACCCTGAATGTGGTGTTATTTCTGTGTGCCGATTTTTAACCAGTCCTTCTAATATTTTCCAGGTTTAAATTATTATGTATATCTCCCATCTGTGTTCTAGGGAATACAGATTTAACATTTCTGGGTGGTCCCAATGATTTAATGATTTATTAAGTAGATTCTAGTGGTAAAAGACCTTTGCACACTCTCCAGGTCAGCAATTTCTTTAGCTTTGAAAGGGGCTGTTAGTGTGCAACAATATTCCACTCTTGAGAGCACTGTCTTAAAAAGTATCATCACTGGTATGGCATATCTTATTTGAAAGGTTCTTGTTGTCCAACCTGTCATTTTTTCTTGCAGTTGTGACAGCAACTTTGTTGCATTCTTTAAAAGCAAAATCTTCCGACATGACTACTCTATAGCTTTTACGTCGCTTTTTCTTTCAATAGTGTGGCTTGACTGTGGTTAATATACTGTTTCTGCTTAAATGGTTTTTGTTTTATCCATAGCACAGTAATTGGAACTTATCATTAAACATAGTGTTATTTTGATAACCAAACCACACGTTGGAAAATTAAGAAATGAAGACGTTTCAGTCCTGGACCTTTGTCAAGTTTTGTGACGACTTGATAATGGTCCAGGACGTTAACCCTTGCTGATCCCTTCCAAGTGTGACTATATAGCACTTGGAAGGGATCGGGATAAGGATATGGGATGGGACAGGGAAAAGGAATGTCACCCATCCACTTGGATGGTCAGGTATTGAATGCCGACATGCATGAAGCGCGTCGTTGTTTTACAGTTCGACCCAAGTGGTTGGGCGAACTGCAGAGCGATGGTCTCACTTTATCACATCTGAAAAGGTTGAATTATGGCATCCATATCTGTCATAATATCCCTTTGTATGAGTTTCAGTCAAAGCTGCAAACATTGTATATGCCTCATTTAGGAGACCAGTTAGAAAGTGGACTTTGTTTTGTATGTTTGATGCCTTGTATGTTAGCAAATATGAAAAATGTTACCCACTTGTTCTATTTCCCCTCCAGATCTTGTATGCAGTTATCCTGTCCCCCTCTTGTTTCTTCCTTTCTCTAAAGTTGTGAGGGTGGGTTCTCTCAACCTGTCCTTATAGCGGGGGCCTCTCAATTCTGGGTCTGATCTAGTGACAACCCTCTGAACTTTGTGTATAAGTTCATGAAACCTATTGAACTCTGTCATACCTATATTTTAAACTGTGTATGGAGTCAGCCTCCACCACATTACTGCCTAGTGCATTCCATTTGTTAAAATACTGACATTGACAAAATTCTTTCAAATATATCTGTGGCTCATTTGGTTACTAGAGTTCCACCTGTCACCTTGTGAGAGTACCATCTATGCTAAGTATTGTCTTTATCTACCCTATCTATTCCCCTGAGAATTTTGTATGTGGTAATCATATCTCCTAACTTTTGTGTTTTCCAGTGAGCTTGCTTTAGGAAACCATGGAGGTCCTTCCAGAAAGAGGCATTTCATTACGTTCAATGCTAAATTTTCTCTATTGAATAGTGCGAGTCCCACATAAATGAGGATTTTGGGAGGAAATTTTAAATTTTGATGATTAATTTCAGGCAGGAATAACTAGCAAAAGTACAGGTGTAGTTCACAGGAGGTAAAGTGATTTTCTACACTGATGAATGATCATAGTAATGTAAGGACCAAAGCAATATTTAAGCAGATATTAGCATGGAAGCTTGTGTGCATAGCCAAATGTTGACTGTAAGAGATTATTTGTATATTAAGAGCAGTCGTGTGTAAATTGCCTAGCATTAAATAGCGATAACGTGTAACTTAGAATTCCTTGAATTATACCAACGAGTACTTTGAGGAGTGAGATGCAGCAAAGGCCGCAGCAAGCAGATCAATAAATATTAACACATTTATTTGCTCTTACCATCAGAAGTGCTGCTCATTCGGGACAGTCTGTTCACCTTGGAGTGGTTGGAAAGTTGCTTTGTACCGTCTGTAGTATCTGCCTACACTGACCCTGACCCTAATTCTTATGCCCGGGCCAGTATGCTGGCTCATCACTGGGAACGATCTGTTAAACAGCTTTGGGACACGCTCTATAATATCGTGGATCCATCTGCATTCACCTTAGTAAGTTTTTGTCTGTTCATAAATGTGTTATTGTGTAATTACAATGGTCCTAAAACTATTATTTTAATTTATATTGAGGTAAGATAGATTACATAAATATTTATTAGTTTTCTAGTTACAGTACATATTTTAAATTAAAAATTGTTACATAAATACCATTTTTTTCTTGATCATTTATTTTACATGACAGGTTACCAAACAAGAAGTACACCAGTTGTGGGCTGAACTAAAGGAACGAATTTATACTCAAGATGTGACTTGGATTCATAAGCAAGTGTCAAGAGTGGTAACTCTTGTATCTGGAATGTTAGTATTAAATGAGAAGAACAGCTTCCTCACAAATTCACAGACTGAAGACTTAAAACTAGGTATGTTGAAGGAATATTTTTGTATACTGTGCTCAACTAGTTCACTATATTTTGCATAGCTGTAGTAGATACAGTGGCACCTCACCTTACGAATGGCCCTATTTACAAACTTTTCAGATTACGAGCCCAATTTCCTTGTAAAATTTGAATCGCATTACGAACTTTGCCTCGAGTAACGTAGTTTGTACATACGTGTATCGTCGACCTAACTCGTGGTACCTGGGTGGCATGGCGACCGTGCCTCAGTTTACCAGTGCTTCCTGCCTAGTGACAATCGCGCTTGAATTTTTTATAAAGAATTTCAGTGTTTTCAAATTTTTGGGTATTTGAACATAAGTTATTATTATATATATCGCCATGATTCCAAAGAAAGCCAGTGGTAAGGTTAAATCCAAGAAAACACAAAAGCGGCATTTCAAGAAAACTTCTTTTCTCTGCTGGAACTCTCTTCGGACTGGCTTTAGGAGGATGTAGAACAGCTGGGTTCCGGGACTGCGTCCGGTGCAGTTGCCTCGGCGGCTCGGGCGTCGGCCACCTTGTTGAAAGTTATTTGGGCCAATTCTTAAGGAAGCAGTGTCTCAACTCTTTGGAATCCTCTTGAGCCCTACCTCTTGGATTTTCATCCCCTTTTTGTCCATTGCTGTTTTCAGAGTCAGCGGTGATGGATTTTCTACAGGCGACTTCATCTAGTTGCCGGCCTATGTCAGACTTGTTGGTTCTCTGGGGACTCCATGATAGTCAGGGCAGGAGACTTTTAATGCCCGGAAGGGTCATGCCAGGGCTCAGGGGTTCTTTCGGTTGTCGTAAGCCAGTAGTGCCAGATTCGGGGCTGGCACCTCCTGCAAAGCCGTCAGCATCTGGTCTGAGGCAAAAGACCCCCCCCCCTGGGTCTTTTGCCCCTCCTTTCGGATGACCACTCCCGATTCATCCGGGGTTTAGTGACTGGCTTGGTTTTGTTGTGGGGTGACATGCTTACCACTTTCATTGCCTTCATTCCCCTTGAATCGGGCACTTCGCGTGTTCACACTCCTTACCCAGGTCGTGGTGACCCGTTAGCTTCTGTACGGGGTTTGGGTTCTAGCTTACCTCAACAGCTGGCTGGTCTGGGCATCCAGCCAGTCTGCGTGTTTGCTCACCAGGGATTTGGTTCTTTCTCAGCTCGCCAGGTTCAGGTTTTTGGTGAACTGGAGGAAGTCCCATATGGTTCCATCTCAGGTTCAGACTTGGCTGGATCTTGAAGTAATTACCTAAGTGTAGTTACAGGATGAGAGCGATGCTCGTGGTGTCCCGTCTTCCCAGCACTCTTTGTCATATAACGCTTTGAAACTACTGACAGTCTTGGCCTCCACCACCTTCTCACCTAACTTGTTCCAACTGTCTACCACTCTGTTTGCGAAAGTGACTTTTCTTATATTTCTTCGGCATCTGTGTTTAGCTAGTTTATATCTATGACCTCTTGTTCTTAAAGTTCCAGGTCTCAGGAAATCTTCCCTATCGATTTTATCAATTCCTGTTATTATTTTGTATGTAGTGATCATATCACCTCTTTTTCTTCTGTCTTCCAGTTTTGGCATATTTAATGCCTCTAACCTCTCTTCCTAGCTCTTGCCTTTCAGTTCTGGGAGCCACTTAGTAGCATGTCTTTGCACCTTTTCCAGTTTGTTGATGTGCTTCTTAAGATATGGGCACCACACAACTGCTGCATATTCTAGCTTTGGCCTAACAAAAGTCATGAACAATTTCTTTAGTATATCGCCATCCATGTATTTAAAAGCAATTCTGAAGTTAGAAAGTGTGGCATAGGCTCCTCGCACAATATTCTTTATGTGATCCCCAGGTGATAGTTTTCTACCACCCCTAGATCTCTTTCTTTATCAGAATTCTTTAAAGATTTCTCACATAATATATAGGTTGTGTGGGGTCTATGTTCTCCTATTCCACATTCCATAACATGGCATTTATTAACATTAAATTCCATTTGCCAAGTGGTGCTCTATATACTTATTTTGTCCAGGTCATCTTGAAGGGCATGACAATCATCTAAGTTTCTTATCCTTCCTATTATCTTAGCATCATCAGCAAACATGTTCATATAATTCTGTATACCAACTGGTAGATCATTTATGTAGACAATAAACATCACTGGTGCAAGAACTGAACCCTGTGGTACTCCACTTGTGACATTTCTCCAGTCCGATACATTGCCTCTGATCACTGCCCTCATTTTTCTATCAGTCAGAAAATTTTTCATCCATGTTAGAAGCGTACCTGTCACCCCTCCAATATTTTCCAGTTTCCAGAACAACCTCTTATGTGGAACTCTGTCAAAAGCCTTTTTTAGGTCCAGATAGATGCAGTCAACCCAACCATCTCTTTCCTGTAATATCTCTGTTGCTCGATCATAGAAACTGAGTAAATTCAATACACAGGATCTTCCAGATCAAAAACCATACTGTCTGTCTGATATTATATCATTTCTCTCCAGGTGTTCTACCCATTTAGTTTTAATTATTTTTTCCAATATTTTGACTATTACACTTGTCAATGATACTGGTCTATAATTAAGGGGGTCTTCCCTGCTTCCACTTTTGTAGATTGGAACTATGTTAGCCTTTTTCCACACATCAGCTACAACTCCTGTAAACAGGGATGCCTGAAAAATCAGTTGAAGAGTATTGCTGAGCTCAGGTGCACATTCTCTCAGAACCCATGGTGAAACTCCATCTGGACCAACTGCCTTGTTCTTATTTAGCTCCTTGAGCATTGCTTGACTTTTGGAGTGCTTACTTGTCTCCCTCCCGCTTTGTTGCTGCGGCTGCAGTCCCGCCTTCAACTGTTTTTGGGGGCCACCTGGGTCACTCGTCAGTTGTTCGAGCAGCTGTGCAGGAGTCTGAACTTCACCGTGCTGGTCTCCCCGTCAGGTCGGATCTGGCTTCGGTGGCTGTTCTGGTTTCTTTAGGGTCATCCCTTCCGCCACTCTCGCGATCGCTGGGTTCGAAATCCAGGGGCCTTGCATTGACTGCTGTGTTGGCGGCTTCCATTTCGGGTTTTTCAGAGTTCAGTGCTGTGGCACCTACCCAAGCCATCGCCCAATGTGTACACGGATGCGCTGTCTCTCAGCTGGGAGTTTGTGACCAGTGCTCACCAGGCTGGCCAGGGTTGGTGGGGTCTGTCCTTCCGTAGGACTCGCAGCATGGTGTGGGAGTTTGCAACAGTGTGGCATTTGCAACAGTGTGGCATTTGCTTCAGGGTGTTCGCTTCGCTCGTGGATCGACGATCCAGCTCCATTCGGACTGCTCCACAGTGGTTCATTGTCTGAACCGTGGGGCTTCGATGTGGTCCTTGGCTCTTTGGGGCTGGGTGCTTTGAATGACTCCTCTGCTAAGTTCTCGGTTTGGCTCTCCTGGCAGTTCATATCCAGGGAGTGTCCAATGTCCCGGTGGTCAGCCTGTCTCAGTTCATTACCCTGTCCATGGACTGAATGGTCGACGCCGACTCATTCCATTGGCTCTGTCAGATGTTCAGGTGCCCGCAGGTGAACCTCTTCGCGTCTCCCTGGTCAAGGCATCTTCCGTTGTATGCTGCACCCTTCCCTGTCTGCAAGGCTGTGGGGGGTCGATAACTTTCGACTGGACTGGTCGAGGTGGGGTTACCTGTACCTCTTTCCCCAGTTCATTTGTTGCTCCAGGTCCTGGCTCACTTGGGGACTTACCAGGGGCCAGGGGGAGAGTACTCCTATTGGCTTCCCTGGTGGCCGGCCTAACTTTGGTTTAATACGCGGCTTGCTCTAGTGTCCGAACCCGAGGGTCTTGCCACAGCTCCGCCTCTTTCAGCAGGTCTGTCTGGTCTGGTACGTGGCTAGTTCGATCTTCTCCTTCGATCTTCGTGTCTGGGTTTATATTGCGGGCTTATCACCACTTGTATGGTAATCAGGTGGCTTTGTTGATGGTGTCCCACCTGCATGTTTTGTTTCGGCAGCAGTATGGAGTTTCCTGGCAGTCTTTTCGACACTTCGTGTGGCACTGGTGGAGCCGCTACAGCTTATGTTCGGGGTGGATGCCACTTCTCCATTCCGCAAGTTTTCTCGGGCGTTGTTTCACCTCCGGCCTGCTCATGCGTAACTTGAGCCGTCCTGGTCGTTGGACCGGTGCTCTCTCTTCTCTCTTCTCATCGGTTTGTGGTGACCATTTCGGTTCAGGACTATTTTTCTAACGCTCTTTTCTTGTTGGCATTGGCCTCCTGGGGGTCGGGTCGGGGAGCTTCATGCTCTCCTCCAGCGCAGGGGTTGCTGTTCTTTTGGTTCTGGTGGTTGTTTTTTTCATTTGCTCTCCTCGTGCCCCTCTCTGAGGGGGCCAGGTTGTTGCTCGTGATCCCTGGTTGGCCTAGAAATCAATCGATTGACTGTTGCCATGGTCTAATATATACACATCAGCCCAGTATAGCTCCGGGGCGTCTCTGGGTCTCGCCCAGAAAATGGCATTTCATTACTTTCAATGCTGTTTTTTTCTACAATGTGTTAAGGACTGGAAAGCTAGTGAAATGGTACGTAAAAACAAAGCAACAGAATCATTAGAGGAAAGGGGAGTAAAGGACACAAGGAAAGGGAACATGTTCCAAAAATTGTATATACCAACATAGTGAGATAAAAAATATAGGAGCTGAAAGATATAATACACCTTAAGGTCCCAGATATTGTCGCACTAACAGAGACGAAACTTGAAGAAAGTATTTTAAATGAGGTCGTATTCCCACGGGGCTAGTCAGTTTGGAGATGACAGGAAAACTAGGAAGAGGGAGAAGTGGCTGTGCTTGTGAAAGAACACCTGAAGGTAAGAGAGTCAATAAATGAAAAACCTCAAAGTTGACATAATGGCATTGCAGGTCTGTTATCAGGATGATAAACTGATTATTGTAAATGCCTACAGTCCACCAGCAAGCAACACATGGACAAAGGAAGAACTGGATGACAAATGAGAAAGCCCTCATAATGATCATGAGAG